GCACGCAAGCCGGCTGGTTTGTGTGTGGCTGGTTTGGGAGTCGGTACTCCGTGGCAGCGAGACAGGCATGCCCTGCAGTGGTGTGGGTCGAGGTGGGGTGGGGGTGACAGGAGGGAAACAGTCCTAGAGCTGGAGACAGTGTGGTTTGGTGGGAGCACAGGACTCAGAGCCGAGACCCGGGAGCCAGGCATGCGCTTCCCTGGCCTCTCAGGATCGCGTCTCCTCACCTGTACGGGGGAGGGGGCCGGGTGGCAGTCATAGCTGAGTTCACAGGTGGCCGAAAGGACGCAGAGAGATGCCTCGCAAGCCAGTGCGAGCTGTTTTTCTGCTGAGGAGCACTGACCTGTCACCCTTCTCTCCCAGGAGCCCCTGTCCTGCCTTGCAGTAGTTCCCTTTCAAACCCTCTAACCCAATGGGGGAGACCCAGGCCTGCCCCCACCACTGCCTCCCTGATCAACGTTGTTTTCTCTCTTCCCAGAAATCGAAAGATGCAGGCGCCGCGGAAAGACGCCCCAGCCGCGCCGTATCAGGATGGAGCTGGCACCAAAGACAACAGCCTCAACCACCTGAGCGAGACTTGGCTCTCACAAACGCCATTCTTGGCACAGGTGGAAATGGAGTTAAAAGAGAGAGATGACTCATCCGTTTTCCTTTCAGACCCCCCCGAAACCGAGAACTAGTGGTTCAGGCACACCCCGTCACACGGGCCGCATCAGCTACACTCAGCTCAGTGGCTGACACCCTTCAGATTTTAGTCTTTCCCAAGAAGCCTGACGTTTTCATTAGCGTCAATTTCATGCATCAACTGCAAACAGAAACTTGTATTTAAAAAAAGACAAACTTTTATTAAAATGCTTCCAGAAGTGGGCAGTTGGAGTTGTGGTTTGTTCAGATGGTGGTGGGCCACACACATACACACACACACGCATGCACACACAAAGTGGCTTGGAGCAAAAGTGCTAACTCCGTAGCTGGCCCATGGGCTAGGAGGCCTGGCCAGGACTCTCAGCATGTGCACTCGGGCAGTTTCCAGCCTCCCTCTGACCTCAGCTTCTCCATCTGCAGAATGGGCTGGAGACTGGGCTGGAAATTTTGTTTGTACCCCAAGCTCCTAGGACTGCTGGGAGGGGAAGGAGCAGGACTCCAGCTCAGAGTGCCCTTCCCAACCCTTCCACCTGCTCGCCTTCACCTGCTGTCTGCTGAGGGTCCGTGGTTACCAGCTAGAAAACGATCGAGTTACCTGCCTCCCAGCTTTCTCTCGCTGTCATTGAGGTACCCAAAGAGTGACCTGAGTCTGAGTCATGGTGTTGTGACATAAACCATGGTGACACCACCAAGTAATTTACACACAAAAATTGCTTTGTTGGCCCCAAATGCTCTGGGTTCTCTTACAAAAGGGGCCTTTACACACTCAGACCTGTTCCTGAGGGGCCTGGGTCCTGCCGAGCCAGGCTACAGATGGAGATACTGTGTCCCTCCCTCCAGGCAGGCTGAGGGGCCCACAGACAGTGTTGGATATGCTGTGTGGGCACCACGGGTTCTGCGTAACCGTCCCTGCAGAGGTCGGCTTTGCTCTGCAGCCTTGATCATTGCATTTGAAGAGGCTGGTCCTAAGGGTCTGTAGACAGAGTCCTTAATGGTGGGAGAACAAGGGCCCTCCACGTGCTGGTGAAAAACGTCAGGAGCTCCTCGCACTGGACAGCACACAGCCCTCTCCCATCTGCATCCAGAGGCAAAGGGCTGGAAATAGCCTTTCCTGGGATTTTTTTTGCCCCACCAAAGTGTCTCATAGGATTATTTAAACTAGATTTTCTTTGGATCAACTGTGGGGTGTGTTGCCTAGGTCTTCTGTGAGCTCAGACCACCCTCTGGCCAAGCTCTGGCCTCCAATACCTACGGTGTCCTGCCTTTCCCGACCACCAGGTGGCGCAAAGGTCTCGGCCATCTCTCCTGCAGGCTCTCAGGGTCTCCCGGAGCATCAGCCCAGAGCTGTCTAGTAGGGGCCACAGCTGGCCTGGCTGCCGCTGGAGCGGGAAGGGCGACAGCAGTAAAAGGACACAGCCATTTCTTCCTGCTTATGGCTGATCCTTGGTCTCTGGTTGTCACAGTGGCTGTTTTCCTCCAGGGTCACAGATGCAATGGTTACTACGGAGACCAAGGCCTGGAGGGACTGGGACAGTATTCCTGTCTGTTCCTGCAGTCCACACAGTGAATTGAGTGGAACCTGCTTGGTCCCAGACGCCCAGGGCTACTGGTCCATCTGAAAGAAAGGCTGGTGGTGACAAGCCAGTCCCTGTCACAGCCCTGCCCAGCCACCGAACCTAGGGTTCCTCCAGAAGGGCCCTCAGAAGATCTTGAAGCCCTTCAGCAGGGTCAGGGTGGGTGCCTTGCGCTTGCTCTGGGCCCGAGACGACTTCACAGTGACCAGCTTGGCCTGGGCCACGGTGGGCATCTCCTTCAGGCTGACGGTGGACAGAGTGTTGAAGGTGCAGCTGGCCAGCCCGTGCCGGGTGGGGAGCGGGGCCTGGTGGGGCAGGGCCCTCTCCTCGGAGATGAAGAGGGGCCGGGCCAGGGGGCTCTTCTCCAGCTCCCGCCGGGCCTCTCGCACCGCCTCGTGGAAGACGTGCTGCACGTGCTCAAAGTCCAGGCAGGCGGACACCTCGAAAAACAGGCAACCAAACCTGCCTGCCAGCGCCGCGCCTTCCGCCTTGGTGACCTGCCTGGAGAGGGAGCAGTGGGCAGGGAGTGAGGCGCCAGGCCCAGGAGGCAGACCGACCACAGCCTCATCCCTCACCCCCATCCTAGCTGAGTAGCTGGGCTCATCTTCACCTCTCTGGCCTCAGTTTCCTCATCAGTACGAGGGGACAGCACAGCCACTGGGCAGGGCTGCCTGGGTAAGCGAGACGATCTGGCACATCAGTGCTCAGTACTGGTGGCGGATGTCACCAACGCCAGGACTTCGGGATGAGTATGAGGGTGGGAGAGAAGCCACCCAGAGTCCCCATGCTGGACTATGACCAAAGAAAGAAGGCCATTCCTAGCCCCGTCTCTCCCCTACGCCGACCTGGGTCCCGTGGGCAGGACAGGGGCCACCGCGGCCCTGGCTAGGAGCACGGGCTCTAGAGAAGATGGCTGTTGGGCTGAAGAGCCAGACCAGTGCGCTCGGGAAGCCTGTGCCTGGCAGAGCTCCCTGGGCTTGTGGGCTTTGTCGGCCGGCCCAGCGGAGGGGCCGGAGAGCAGGGGTGATGACGCTTCATAGGCAGGAGACAGCAAAGGAGAGAGCGCGCAATGCCTTTCAGCTGCCTGGGATGTAGGAGAGAATATCTGCAACTCAGAAGGTTCTGGAAACTTTTGACCCGAAAGCCAAGGCAACTGAGGTGGGAGTGATGAGAAGACTGGCTCTTGGGCAGGTCCAATGTCCACAAGGGAGAAGAGACGGGGGTCTCTGGGTCCTGAGGCCAAGGTTCCCTGGCCGAATCTTGACCATCACCTACTGCTGAGCTGCCCTGCCTCCATTCCTGAGGGCGGTGGTGAGGAGACACCAGCGTCAGGAGTGGTGGGAAAGGTTTCTGAGCCCAGGTTAGTTGGGCAGGGTGTGCCCAGGTGCCCCAGGGCAGCTCCATAGCTGGTGAGAGCCAGGAGGAGGGGTGACAGGGACAAGGCCAGGGCAGAGCATCTGCTCCACTCTCCCGGGGCCAGCACCCTGTCCGGCTCACTGCCTCCAAGGAGCCCTTTGGAAAGAATACCTGGAGTGATCTGGTTTTACGAGGAGCTCGAATCTGCAGCTGCAGTACTGCGGGCTGTGAAAGCATGCGTGTCCACGCCCCGAGAGGCGGTGGCACAGGCACGAACAGCGGCTGCTTTCTCCCGTTGGATCCCAGTGGTTTGATCAATGTGGCTCTAACCTGCACTAACCCTCCAGCTGTGAGGCAGTCGCCGGGGACGACCACGGGTGCCCACCTAAGTTAGATCTGCTGTGTCTGCTGAATCCTACTCCACTACACTTGGCCCAGTCCCGGCAAGAAACACAACAAACAGCCATGGCCTGCTCTTGGCCACTGACGCTGTGTCACTGCGGCCACACGGACCATCTGAGACCACTCTCTTGGCAAAGACGGGCTCCTAAAAGCAATCTGAGGTGTTTTTTCCATATTGAAAACTGGCCTGTTCACATGCCGGTCTCCTGACCCTCTTCCAGGCTCTATGCCTCCTTGAAGACCGCTTTTGGTGGTTTTAGGCTCTCACAGCATGGGCTGGCCCTCTGGCATAGTGGCTAAGGGGGCAAGATCCCACATGGCTGACTGCTGTTTGAATCCTGGCCACAGCAGTTGAAAAACACAGCAGGCAGGCCAGCCAGGTGACATGATGGTTGGGGCAGCTGGATCCCACATGGCCGACTGTGCAGTTGGAGTCTAGGACCTAGTGGCAGGCATGGGCGTGAGTGTCCAAAATCCCAAGAGAAGGGATTATGGAGTGGTTGTCCCCCTGGGGAGTAATTTCTCACTTTCCTCTATATCCAGCAAGTTCACACGCTCTATAGCAAAAAAAAAAAGGGGGGGGACTGGCAAGTGGCATGGTGGTTAAGGGAGCTGGACTCTCCCATGGTCAACCATGGTTCAAGTCCCGGACCCAGCAGCTTGCTTTCTCACTTTCCCTTTCTCTCACCCTGTCTCTCTCTCTGGTCAAATTAAAATACATAAATAAGGTGGGGCCAGCAGGTGGCATGGTGGTTAAAGGTGCTAGATTCCCACATGGCTGACCGTGGTTTGAGTCCCAGAACTGGCGGCTTGGTTTCTCACTTCCCTTTCTCGCTCTCTTTCTCTATCTGGTCAAATTTAAAAAATAATAATAACAAATGGAAATAAATAAAAAGGTTCAATGAAATAATTCTTTAAAAAGAAAGAAAAGAAAAATGAGCTGGGCATATGTACATGTGTGCCCCAAATCCTGACAGGGTGGAGAAATAGAGAAGGGACTGTGGTGTGACCACACCCTTGGAGGATGCTCCCTTCCTCCTCCTCTCTGTCTCTCTCTGGTGAGCACACATGCCCTCTGTCAAAAACAAAAACAAAAAAAGACACAGCTTCCCTCATTCCGCGCTGTAACTCATCTTGGTGTGAGGGCTCGCCTGCTGTGATCCCGCCTCACGAGACCACATCCCCTTCTTCTGGCCCTCTGACCTGCTCTGCACGAAGGGTCCTGCCCTGCTAACACCAGGCAATGAGCCTTCGGGGCCTGTGGAGGCAGGACTGGCCAGCCAGGAGCAGGGAGGGCTGGTGGAAGGTGCCACATCTTGCAGCTAGACCAGCCACGTGGCATGTGTCACTGCTGGAGAATCCAGTGGGATCCCTCAGAAAGCAGCATGGGCTCCAGTGCCTTGGAGCCAGGCAGGCCACTGGAGCGCGTGGAGAGGGTGGAGGGGAGTCCTGGGGAGTGGCGAGGCCTGTGTCAGCTGCAGCGAGCTGCCCCACCTCGAAGCATTCCGATTCCAGGTCTGTTCAAGCGCTAAGGTGGCCAAGCAAAACGCAGCTTTGGGGCTCTGGTAACCTGCCCTCTGGTCCAGCCCATGACCTTGGATTCAAGTCCGCCCCTTCCTAGGACAACTTGCCCTGGCACCGCCCACAGCCGATGGCGGGAGTGAGCGAGAGAGGCTGTGCGGGGGTAGGAGAGAGCTGGTGGGGCCAGAGCACACGCCTGGCCCAGGGAGTCGACCTGAGCCTCCCACCAGAGTTGGAATCAGGCACCGTATGACCAGCCAGCTGCTGGGAGTGGGCCTGGAAGTTCTTACAGACCCAGGCAAGAAAGGGTGAGGCTGAGAGAGAGCAGAGACGCAGGAGGGTGGAGTGAAGGGTTCTCTGACTTTCAGGGTCCTGCCCTGAGAGGCCCAGATGCCCCTCCTTTCCTGGCCTTGGCTTCCTGGAAGACCGACGTCCACCTTACACTTAAATCCAGTCTCTTCCACCTTAATGTAAAAGGTTCCTGTTCTCTGCAGCCAGCTGACCCCGGAAGACTCCCGTCCGCACACACGGGAGCGAGCAGGCAGGGCTGGCCGGCCGACCTACCTGTACTGGGCCATGTCCAGCTTGTTGCCCAGCAGCAGGGCGGGGAAGCCGCGCTGGGTCTCCCTGGCGTGCAGGGCCAGCAGCTCTAAGTAGCTGCTGCTGCCCTCGAAGCTCTGGCGGCTGTCCACGCTATATACCACCAGGAAGGCGTGGGCCCAGTTCAGGTAGCGCTCGCAGTTCCTGGGGGTGTCCTAGGGGGCAGGAGAGAAGTCTTGCTCAGGGGCAGAGGAGGCTGGGGTGGAGGCTTTCACCTGAGCGTCCCCCCATTCCTTGGGTCTTTGTACATTGTTTCCCAGCAGAGCCCTTTTCAAAGGGGCACTGAGTGGCTTTGGCTTGGCGTGAAAGGAGACATTGTCCATGACCTCCCTCCCACCCACTGGCCAGAGACTGGGAGATCTCGGCCCCTCGGGCACAGAGCCAAAGTCTCTGGCAGGCTCCTACAGGGGACCTGGCTGCCCCGGGGCACTGATGGTTCAGGTTGGGTTTGTGCTGCCCTTCGACTTCCAAGAATGACTGGCATCTGGCACTGGCAGAGGGTGGTGAGGACGCGTGGGGGAGATGTGTGTTTCGGGGGACACTCGGGCCGAGGGGCTCTCTGCGTAAACAGGCGTGCCCCGGTCTTATGTGTACATGAGTGTAAACCCCGCAGACCGGATCTCCGCACTTTCGCATCTAGCAGTTGTTAGGTCTCCCAGCCCTGTCCCGTCTTGTTTAGCACCTCAGTCAGGGTCACAGCACAAGTTACAGCTGACTAGGTTCCAAGTTCCCATCTGCGGCCCTGCCCCGGGCCAGGGCTCCTCTGGAAGCCACACTGAGTTTCAGCACTCCGGGGTAAAGAGGGTGCAGTTACCGGGTCTGCGGTGTCCATGACCCTCAGGTGGACGGGCTGGTGGTCCACAGTCTCCTCCGAGCTGTAGGTGTCCTCTGCAACAGAGATGGTCCGCTGGGCAGGGCACTGAGTAGGTCTGCACCGAGCATCCTGCTGCGCCACACCTGGTCAGCCTTAAGGGCCCCCAAGCTGACCTGGGACTGGCTGAGCTGGGCCCACAGCAAGGCCCGGGTTCTCACCCACAGGGAAGACTAGGGTCGACCAAGGAGGTGCAGCTCTGCCTGAAAGGCTCAGAGCACCGAGGGCACTCAGAACACCCCTGCGGGCAGGACTGTGTTCTGGGTCCATGCACATGGCTGGTTGGCCGGGCTGTTGGCAGCAGAGTCCAAAGCTGCACCACCAGCCCCTCCAGTTCTGACCCCAAGCTTCTCTCCTTTTTTAAAAAAATTATTTTTAGGACCAGCAGATGGTGTAATCGTTATGCTGCTGAACTCCCACGTAGTCAACCACAGTTCAAGTCCCAGAACTGGTGGCCAAAAACTCACACCAGGCGCATGGGTGTGCGTGCCCAAGATCCTGAGAGGAGACTAGAGGAGAATGAATTGCAATGTGGCAATTCCCCCAGGGGGTGATTTCTCGCTTTCTATCTATCTCTCTGTCTCTCTAGCAAGCACACACACCCTATAGCAAAAGTCTCTTTCTAAAAAATAAATATAAAAATTATTTATTTAATTCTATTTGTTGTTATTTTTAATTTGCTATAGGGCATGTGTGCACACCAGAGAGAGAAAGAGGCAGAAAGTGAGAAAGCAAGCCTCCAGGTCTGGGACTTGAACTGCAGTCGGCCACATGGGAGTCCAGTAGTCTAATCACCATGCACCTGCTGGCCCAGCTTGTTCCCCTCTTGTTTCTGACTACACTACCTGGCCCAAAGGATGGCCCCAAAGACAACCGTCATCCTCCTCGGGGAAGAAGAGCTGAAAACAAAGAGAAGCACACAACAGCAGAAAGGGGGCCATCTGGAAGCTCTGAGAAGGTTTTATAGGTGTCCTGGTCAGCGGGACGGCAGGGGAGTCTACTGTAGGCGAGTCTGAAGCTATCGAATCAAGCCTAACTTCAGCTACTTCCAGCTGTGTGACTTGGCCAAGTCACCCCTCCTTGCTGAGGCCATTTCCTCATTTAAGATGGGGATTGAGACCAGCAGATGGCATAACGGTTACGTTGCTAGACTCCCATATCATCAACCATGGTTCAAGTCTTAGAGCTGGTGGCTTGAAAATTGCCAGGCATTGGGCTGGCAGGTGGCGTGGTGGTTAAGGTGCTGGACTTCCATATGGCCAACCGTGGTTTAAGTCCTGGACCTGGCAGCTTGCTTTCTCGCCACCCTCCCCACCC